AATATATATTTTTTATTTTATTTATTTTATATATATATAATTTGTTATATATATATATATAATTTGTTTTCTGTTTTCTAGGCAGGGTATTGCCCTATCACAGTGGCACAATCACAGTTCACTGCAGCCTCAACTTCCCAAGCTTAAGCGATCCTCCCATTTCAGCCTCCCCAGTAGCTGGGACTATAGCCACATGCCACCTGCCCAGCTCATTTTTGTATTTTTTGCAGAGATAGGGTTTTGCCATGTTGCCCAGGCTGGTCTCGAACTCCTGGGCTCAAGCAATTCACCCACCTTGGCCTCCCGAAGTGCTAGGATTACAGGCATGAGCCACCATGCTCAGTCTTCCAGCTTGATTTATAGATTCAACAAAATCATAGTAAAAATTCCAACAGGTTTTTTTTGTTTTGTTTTAAAGAAATCAATAAACTCTTTCGAAAATATACATGGAAGGGACCCAGAATAGCCAAAACAATTTTGAAAAAGAATGAAATTAGAGGATTTTCATATCCTGATTTCAAGGTTTACTGTAAAGCAACAATAAAGCAGTATATTACTGGTGTACATATAGATATATACATTAAATGGAACTAAATTAAGAGTCCAGAAGCAAAACTTTGAATTTATGCTTTATTGATATTTGACAGAGGTGCCAAGGCAATTCAATAGGGAAAGGATAGTCTTCAACAAATGGTTCTAGGACAACTGGATATCCGTACGCAGAAAGAGGAATTTAGATCCTTACCTTACACCGTGCATAAAAATTAACTGAAATGGATCAAAGGCCTAAATATAAGCGCTGAAACTATAAAGCTTCTAGTAAATTAGGTGGGACAAAATCTTTGTGACCTTGGGTTAAGCAAAGAGTTCATAGACACAGCACCAAGAGAATAATCCATAAAAGAAAAAATATATTAGTAAATTCAACTTCATCAAAGTAAAATCTTGTGTGCTTTTTGAAGCACAAAAGCCACAGACTGAGAGAAAACATTTGCAGATCACATATCCAATAAAGAAATTGTGTCTAGAATGTATAAACAACTCTTACAACTCAATAGTAAGAATATAAACAACTCAGATTTCTAAATGGACAAATGTAAGTATACATTTTACCAAGGAAGATATAGGAGTGACTAGTAAGCACATGGAGAGATGTGTGACGTTAGCATTACTTATTAGGGAAATGCAGATTAAAACCATAATGAGATACTACTTTGTACTCACCAGAATGGCTATAATCAAAAAGACCCAAGATGATGAATGTTGGGAAGGATGTGGAGAAACTGGAACTTTGATGCATTGCTTGTAGGAGTGTAGAATGATACAACTTCAGAAAACACCTTGGCAGTTCTTTTAAACATAAATTTAGCATCCTACCCAGCAATTTTCCCAAGAGAAATGAAGACATTTCCACACAAAAACTTTAATGTGAGTGTTCATATAGCAGTCTTATTTATAACATCCAAAAACTGGAAACAAACCAGTGCTCATCAACTGGTGAATGAATAAACAAAATGTGTCGTATCTACATAGTGGAATATTATTCAGCCATAAAAATTAATGAGGTATTGATTTGTGCTACAATGTGGATGAACCTTGAAAACAGAATACTAAGTAAAAGAAGCCAGATGCAAGAGACTACATATTGTATGATTCCATTTGTGTGGACATTTGTGTGAAATGTCCACAAAAATCTATTATAGAGACAAAAAGCAGATAACTAGGTAGGAGTGTGACATGATTACAAACAGGCACAAGGGATCTTTTTGGGGAGTGGAAATGTCATAATCTGGGTTGGGATGATGGTTGTATAACTCTGTAAGTTGATTAAAAGTAATCGAATTTTAAAACTGGATGAATTTTCATGTGCTTACTAGTCACTCCTATATCTTCCTTGGTAAAATGTATACTAACATTTGTCCATTTAAAAATCTGAGTTGTCTATATTCTTACTATTGAGTTGTAAGAGTTATTTATACATTCTGACACAACTCTCAATTTCTTTATTGGATATGTGATCTGCAAATGTTTTCTCTCAGTCTGTGGCTTTTGAAGCACAAAAGATTTTACTTTTGATGAAGTTGAATTTACTAATTTATTTTTTTCTTCTATGGATCGTTCTCTTGGTGCTGTGTCTATGAACTCTTTGCTTAACCCAGGGTCACAAAGATTTTGTCCTACTTTATTTACTAGAAGCTTTATAGTTTCAGTTCTTATATTTAGGCCTTTGATCCATTTTAGTTAATTTTTATGCATGGTATAAGGTAAGGATTGAAATTCCTCTTTCTGCATATGGATATCCAATTTATAAATTGTACCTCAATAAAAGCTGTTTGAGAAAAGACAAGACAGGATGGGAAGCACAGGGAAGTACTAGGTACTATATACACACCTTGGCTATAGCTTCCTACTGCCCCTGTGAGGTGGGTGGTGGCATCTTATTTTGCCATTGAGGACATTGAGGCTCAGCAACACTAAGTTCACCAGTGAAAGTTACCCAAGTAATTAAATTGCCAAGTTGCCAAGAATTTACAGTCAGTAAATACATACATTGATTAAAACGACTTACTGGCTGGGATAATTAATTTAAAGATAATTTTAAGTTGTTATACCATAATGCTTATGTGACTTTTATATTGGAGACACCTAGAACAATTTTGAATGGTTCTGGAGTCATCATCTCCTGGCCTAGATTAAATTCACTGATAAAATTTGACTGGAATTTTCTTTGTAAACTTAAGGGATTTAAGAAAACAGTTGGTGAATGATTTGAAGGTGGCCAGAAAGTAAAAAAATAACTATTTTAAGCCTTTTGAGCTCAAGATATTAGGACTTATAAAAATAGGCAATTTCAATTTCAGAACTTTGAAAGGCAAGTAGTACCCATAGGTAAAATCAGGTTAGATAAGGTGATAAATTGGTCAAAAAAAGATTGAAAGTACATTGAAATTGCTTAGCGTGGAAGAGAAATAAGAAAAGATGTTCACCTTACTATACAACAGGGGGCATGTCTTAAGAGAAGATTAAAGTGAAAAAGGGTATATGAATCTGCCTAACACAGGACCCTACACAGCATCCAATGTTCAGTGGTAGATTGTTCTGAGAGATTTAGAACCAAAGAAGTAATGAACGAAAATAGAATTCATAGTATCTACAAAGGTGTAATGATACTTAGGGGCAGTGGCAATAAAAATAAATCATTTATATTTTTCAGAAAGGTAGACAGAGGAAGAAAACCTTCCTTTTTATTTACCAATAAGAACATTATGTCCTCATTCATTTGGCAACCGTTTTTGCACAGCTTTATAGGAGGTGGAGAAAGTAGTCAGTGCTGAAATAGATGATGTCTGAGTCTCTCCCAACCCTGTGACATGTGATAAAAACTGAAGAGTGGAAATGAGAAGAGAGTTCAATTCTCGGTGTTCTTAGTACAGACCAGAGGAAGGTTTTAAAACAGATTTGGGAAGGACAAAATTGCTTGAATTTGTAACAAGGTTGTTATGAAAGAAGAGCATGTTCTGAAGCTTGGTAAAAGATTTCATCACCAAAAAATGTTGTTATTATATATATATATATTTTTTAATGGAGTCTTGCTTCGTCACCCAGGCTGGAATGCAACGGCGTGATCTCAGCTCAATGCTACCTCCACCTCCTGGGTTCAAGCAGTTCTCCTGCCTCAGCCTCCCAAGTAGCTGAAATTATAGGCTCCCACCACCACGCCTGGCTAATTTTTGTATTTTTAATAGAGACAGGGTTTCACCACATTCGCCAGGCTGGTTTCAAACTCCTGACCTCAAATGATCCACTCACCTCGGCCTCCCAAAGTGGTGGGATCACAGGTGTGAGCCACCACACCTGGCCTTGTCTTTACCATTTTCAGTGGGGCTACTAGAAATGTTTACATTACATATGTCTTGTATTTCTGTTAGACAACGCTGATCTCAAACATTAAATAATCCTAGCGAATGTGTTTTAGTGTTTAGTAATGATGTATTTAATGCCAGTTAGTCATTTATATCCAATGTTCATTCTCCTTAAACCAAGAGCATAGGCACTTTTTTCTAAAAAGTGCCTAACAAATAATTTCTTCCTTGAGACAGAGTCTTGCTCTGTCACCAGGCTGGAGTGCAGTGACGTGATCTCAGCTCACTGCAACCTCTGCCTCCCAGGTTCAAGCAATTCTCCTGCCTCAGCCTCCTGAGTAGCTGGGACTACAGGCGCCCGCCACCACACCCAGCTAATTTTTGTATTTTTAGTAGAGATGGGGTTTCACCATGTTGGCCAGGATGGTCTCGATCTCTTGACCTCGTGATCCGCCCACCTAAGCCTCCTAAAGTGCTGGGATTACAGGTGTGAGCCACCATGCCTGGCCTACAAATAATAATTTCTTAGATCTTAATTTTTATGCTAGCTTTTATGAGATTCATAGTATCATTGTGTGGTGTTGTTGTTTTTTTTACCACAGTGGACTTTTTGAGAGCTAATTTTTATTACAGAATAGTTGTTTGAATGTAGAGAAGGCATGTAGTCATTTTTATACTATGTTGTTGTTGATACTGAATTCTTAGAAAAGTATATAACTTTCTGTTTTTCTTCTCCTTGTTTTGATTTTTCTGAGGAGACCACTAAGGAGATTTCTGAATGAAAAGAGCTTTACAGAAGTTTTTCTTCTTTTGCTTTCTTTTTCTTCCCCAGAGCAGTTGTATTCCATAATTAGAGCTTGTATGATTCTTTTGTTTCTTGAATAGGAAATAGGCAATGGAAAACTTCTCTGTTTCTTCCATTGCTCATATCTCTTAAAGTAGGGTTCCTAGCTGTGATTCTAAAATGTTTGGTTTTGTAGTTAATTTCCATAGAAGCACTAAACTAGGTCATTAAAGAACAAATTTACAAGGTGGTAGGTTAATTATTCCATTGATTATAGAGTTTAGCTGAGTAAAGCCACCATTCTTCCAAAACCATTTACAAAAGGTCATCTTCTAATCTGTTTCTCTTTTCAGGCACTTCAGACACCACCTCCAACAACACAGCAACCGTGATTTCCACAGCACCTCCAGCTTCCTCAGCAGTCACGTCCCCCTCTCTGAGTCCCTCCCCTTCTGCCTCAGCCTCCACCTCCGAGGCATCCAGTGCCAGTGAGACCAGCACAACACAGACCACCTCCACTCCTTTGTCCTCCCCTCTTGGGACCAGCCAGGTGATGGTGACAGCGTCAGGTTTGCAAACAGCAGCAGCTGCTGCCCTTCAAGGAGCTGCACAGTTGCCAGCAAATGCCAGTCTTGCTGCCATGGCAGCTGCTGCAGGACTAAACCCAAGCCTGATGGCACCCTCACAGTTTGCGGCTGGGTAAGGCGCTTTCTCATCTCATTGACATCTGAGGTGGAGGTCATGCCTGGAATTACTCATAGGGTAGACTTTGCATCACTGACTTAAATGGGGAAAAAAATGTCTTTAAAGCAGTACTCTCTTTGAAGTGGGCTGTTTTGTGATCATACAAGGACCTTGATTATGGTTTAAGTTTCTTAACACCCTGGTAAGGGCAGTAGTCATACCTTTGTTTACAGATGAAGACCCAAAATATCAGGTCACTAATTACCTTAGTGACAGGGCCAAGAAGAAAGCCCAGAATTCTTAACTCTTATTTTCCCCATTAAACTCTCTCAACTGCCTACTTCCTAATTCTCAAGCATAGATGAGAGATGTAATGGGAGTCTCAATTTTATACTGTTATTGTCACACATAAGAATTATCTTGTAAATATATCTTTTTCTCTAGAATGTTTCTTTCATTTTGGAAAAAAAGAGAAATAAGTCATTCAAAGAAGGGTCAAAATGACTGTAAAAGTTTTACATTTTGTGCTGATCATAACCTCATTTGTACAAGTAAGCCTCCAGGAAAGCAGTAACTGAGAAACACAAACCATAGAAGAGTAAAGAAAAGTAAACATTTCCACCTGTTTCCCCAGCTGGATTTTCCTTTTGTAAGTTCCTTTTGGTGTGTTGTCAAAATGAGACCTGCATCTCCATGGTAATAAAGTGACTCCTCTTTTGGACTTGCAGAGGTGCCTTACTCAGTCTGAATCCAGGGACCCTGAGCGGTGCTCTCAGCCCAGCTCTAATGAGCAACAGTACACTGGCAACTATTCAAGGTCAGTAGAAGCCTTTTTCTTTCTTTGGTGGCATGCACACATGTACACGTGTGTGTGTGTGTGTGCGCGCTTGAGAGAGAGACACAGAGAGATGGAGGAAGTCTGCTTTGCTAGAGGTAAAAGTGATGGGAAAGATAGTCAAATGCTGACTAACGTGTTGTTGAGAACTAAGAAAATGTCCTCATTAAAAAGCTTTGTAAGAAAAGTACAGGTGTTAGTATGTGAGTAAAAGCAGGAAATATACTTAGTTTGGTATATGGTAAGAAACCAGAACTTTTATGCTGATACTGATCTTATGTGAATAGACTTGAAGCCAGATTTTTTTCCCCTGATAAGTTTATCCGAAGTATTAATCCAAAACCCATCTCAAGGCAAACTTGACCAAGTAAGACTCTCCAGTCCCCATCCCCATTCCTGAGAAAGCTGTGCATGGGAAAGTCCTATGATGAATGAACACTGGAACACATGAGGTGGACCTCAGGAGTGCTTTTAATTCTCATTAGGTTCTGCTCTTTTTATATCACCATTAGTGTAGAACATATATTCTCTTGGATTATAATGTCTCTTTTCCAAGTTCAGCTGGGTTCCTTTTACCTTTTAGCATGTTACCCAGGGCAATATTCATTCCATATAGTGAAGGGTTCCACTTGTTTAGTACCTAAGCTTTCTGTCTAAAAATGTTTACTGTTATGTGATGCAGGGAGACAATCTGAGAGACATCACTAATGAATTAGAATTTTTTTTCTTAAAATAGTTTTGATGAGAGGCTGAGGCAGGGGATCACTTGAGGCCATGAGTTCAAGACTGCAGTGTGCCATGATCATGCCTGTGAATAACCATTGCACCCCAGCTTGGGCAACACAGTGAGACCCTGTTTCTTAAAAAAAAAAAAAAACGTGGTTTGTGCGTAAATGAGAGTTCTCAGGGCCAAAAATAGCTATTAGCCAACCTAAATTAAGATTAATATTTCACAGGTGATGTCTCTGACAGTGTACTAGACAATGTTAATTACAGACAAAACCACACCATGGCCTTGATTACCTTACATTATATTGACTTTCTGATTGACTAAATCATACCTGAATTGGTTAGCTCTAAAGCTTTGGTTATATAGTAATATTTTTTTTTTTTGCAGTAGAATTTGTGATAAATCACTTTTTCCTCTGCTTTATTGAATGTTTCTGTGCTGTGGGGATCCTACAAAGGCAAAATATCTTCCCCAGGGCATGATTGACACTCTGAAAAGATCTGGAACTAGTCTATGACCCTAAGTTTGGAATCTCAGAAAAACTTCCAGCTGCACTAAGTCTCACTGTTTTGTACTATTTGTATGAACAAGGCCAAAGTCAGAGGCATTCCCTTCAGCTATATTTTATGTAAGAAATCAACCAAATGTGTAATGCCGTTAGAAAATCCCTCAAATCTACATGTAGGAGTGAGGTTATATGGGTAGGGAGATTTAGGAATGTTGCCAGACAACAGGTTGAGATATTAAATTAGAGTCTCAATTATTTTAAATAAAATTTTGATGATGTCTTCTTTGGGGGAGGCAACAGCATCATAGAAAATTTCTCACCCATTAAAGCACATCCTAGCCTTAGATCACCTACATGTGGCCACCTACATCATTATGTCTGATTTCCTGCTATAATAGATTCATCATTCTCCTTTGCACAAGTCATAGAAATCAAATGTTTAGCCTCAGGAAGTGAGAAATTAATTATACCTTTTCCTTTATTTGGTGATACATAATTTATTTTAGAACTAAAGCCTTTTTGCAAGATGGTTTTCATCTTGTGTATCGTAATATAAAGCAGTGGTCCCCAACCGTTTTGGCACCAGGGACGGGTTTTATGGAAGACAATTTTTCCACAGCCACAGTACGGTGGGGTGGTTTCTGGATGGCACCGTTTCCACTTCCGATTTTGCTCTGTGAGAATCTGATGCCGCTACTGATCTAACAGGAGGCAGGCCCACCACTCACCTCCTATTGTTAATGTTTTAATCACTGTAGCTAGTTTGTCTTTTGAACAGAGGTAGTTTAAAATCAGCAGTCTTCATTAAAGACAAAATTATTGGATTTATCAAAAATGTCTAGGTAAATGAAATAAACTGGTGATTTCAACACGGAAACGTGACTAATTCATTAGACAGTTATTAACTGTCTTCTGCCCCTGCTCGTGCCCATTAAATTAGACATTTCAGTCTTTCAGGCTCTTCAAAATTATAAATAAACTACAATTGGTATCAGTGTAGCACTGCGTTTAAGGAAAAAGGGCTACACTTTTTCCTAGTGAGTTGTAGGAAAATGATAGACTTTTGGTGTGTTATTTGGCTTCTCCAGGATGATGTTAATGTTCTCATTCCTGCCTGTTTTGGGGGTTTTTGTCTGTAGCTCTTGCTTCTGGTGGCTCTCTTCCAATAACATCACTTGATGCAACTGGGAACCTGGTATTTGCCAATGCGGGAGGAGCCCCCAACATCGTGACTGCCCCTCTGTTCCTGAACCCTCAGAACCTCTCTCTGCTCACCAGCAACCCTGTTAGCTTGGTCTCTGCCGCCGCAGCCTCTGCAGGGAACTCTGCACCTGTAGCCAGCCTTCATGCCACCTCCACCTCCGCTGAGTCCATCCAGAACTCTCTCTTCACAGTGGCCTCTGCCAGCGGGGCTGCATCCACCACCACCACCGCCTCCAAGGCACAGTGAGCTGGGCGGAGCTGGGCGGCCAGAAGCCTTTTTCACTCTGCAGTGTGATTGGACTGCCAGCCAGGTTAATAAACTGAAAAATGTGATTGGCTTCCTCTCGCCGTGTTGTGAGGGCAAAGGAGAGAAGGGAGGAAAAAAAAAACCACACACACACACACACACACACCAGAAAAAGAAAGAAAGGATGGAGATGGGACATTTGCCTAATTTTGTAATAAAACACTGTCTTTTCAGGATTGCTTCATGGATTGGAGAACTTTCTAACCAAAAATTAAAAAAAAAAAAGAAACAAAAAATCAAAAACAAACAAAAATAAGTGAAAGGACTACTTATCATTTCCAGCAGTCATGATGACAAGTTAAGGTGGGTTACCAATTCCAGTATAGGAAGGGGATTTCTTGTTTGTCTAAATTTCTTTTTTTCTTAAAAAAATCATTTTTATGGGTCTGTTGTACAGGCCATTAAGTCATAACAAGGTGTTTATAATCGTATCAATTGTGTTGGGGGTTCCTTTCTTAACTGGTACAATTTAGGCAGGCCTGTATTACTGTATCTCTATTATTATTGTTGTTGTTATTGTTTTATATATATATATATAGTTTGGACATGTTTATTATCTCTTGCTCCTGGATCCTATTTCAGTGAGCTCCCACACTGTGGGGAGGGAGGGTTTTGGGGTAAGGGGAGACTTCTGTTCTTAACTGCGGGGAATGTTCTTGCTGGTTTCCTTATCCTTGATGACTCTTACAGAGGTGCTAGAAAATTATTTTCTTTTGCCACTTATGCAAGAGGCTTGGTGCAGAAGCTGAAGGCAGTGTGTGCAAACACTCCCATTCCACACACGCCCCTTCCCCTCCCCACATCAGGTGGTGCCTTTGGAGCACTTTTGTGTAGGAAGGAATTCCTGCTGAACTGTAGCTCTCACTCACCCCCAAATCATTGAATGACCCTGAGGCCCAGATCCTGTGGTGCAACAGTGCTGCTTTCTGCTACTTTCAATGGGAACAGCTGTACATGTTGCAGGGCAGGATTTGGTTCTGAAGAGCAAAGACTACTGCAGACACCTGACTTGGTGGTTCTCCTGATTTCTTATCTCCTGAAAAATGCTCCTACTGTTGGTGTGTTTGTTTGTTTGTTCATTTTGTGGAAGTTTTTCATCCAAACTTTAACTTGGCAAAGAAAAAAAACTGACTTATTGAAATTGGGAAACTTTTCCCGTCTTTTATTTTCTAAAGGAATTCTACTAGACTATTTTCCATTGATAATATATACAAAAGAGGTGTGATGAGAAGAGTGTAAGGTTACCACCTTTTCCTCTGGAGAGCCACAGACTTCCTTTCCACTGGATGGCTTATAAATTCCTCTAACCCTGAGATTCTTCTTGGTTCTCTGACTAAAGGAGGCACTTATTAGCCGGGCTGGGATCTGTAGAACCTTTGAAGAAGGACTTTGAGCAGGAACTTTGCACACACCTTAAGTGTCTCCTTGGTTTGTTCGTGATGCTCCTGCTAGGTAGGTCTAAATGGCAATACACATCTCTTTATTCAATGTAGAAAGTAATTAGCTCCTGTAATTATTTTCAGGGTGTTTCTAGACTATATAAATGAGCCCATTGAAAAGGAAGAGCTTGTGAAAGTGGATGAAGAGGAATAAGGATAACTTGGAGATTAAATTCCCCTTTTTGTCAATGTACTGTTATTATGCCATCTTTACCAAAAAATTTTCCAAAAGACTGGATCACTGCAGTGCAGCTCATCTAAGTTCCCCTTCTTATTGGAGTTAAAGGTTCCCATTTGGTGGCTGTGGGTGCTTGCTTAAATCTCTGGTGGTCCCAAGACTGCACTTTTTCTCCCTTTCGAGCTGGGGATGTAGAGAGAACTTACAGGTGATTTTTATTCTGATTGCTTTTGTTTGTGTCCACAAGGGAGCTTGGATTCTGTGTACTTGTCTCTCTTTACCATTGTCCAGAAAGGCGGTAAATACAGACACATTGTGTACTTTTGTGTGATTCAAGTGGGAGACAGTCTGTTAAAAGGTCAGAAACATTTTAGTCCCCTTTTAAATTTTTGTTTTAGTTTTTTTCTATCTTGTTTTATTTCACAAATATTTAATTACCACCCCTAAATTTCCTCCTCTTACCCTTCACCTTCCCTAAAATCCTTCCAAAATCAGTGAACTGCAAGCAGGGAAACTAACAAATGTCCATTCACCCTTTTTGTGTGGTGTGTTTTTTTATGTTTTGTTTTGTTTTGTTTTTTAACTAAGCTTGAACCAAAGTCAATTTTTAGCAAGCTGCTGTACTAATGGACTAGTTGATAACGTGCAGTTCAGACACATCGAGGAGATAGATGCTACTGACAATTTCTTTTTCATTTGTCTTTATTAATTTTATATAAAAGTTGCTGCTTGTTTTTAATCTTTTATGTTGGTAAATTGTAATATCCTCTGGGCAGACATTAACTTGATGTTTAACTAGTTTATTAGGTTGGTGTGTAAATAGAATGACAATGTCAATTACTAATTTCTCTCCTCTCCATTCACTTTTTCTCTGTTGTAGTTAAATGTAATCTTCTATCCTGACTTGACATCTCTACCTTTAGTCTGTGCAAATGATTTTAGGGCTATCAGTAATGCTCTAGCTGCCCACAGTAATGAGTCCCTCCCTTGGGAGTGGTGAAACTTAGACGGAAGGATTCAGGGAGAGAAATGCTGATACCCACTATACTGGATTAGAAGTTACAGCATTAATTTCTCAAAATTGCTACCAAAGGAAGTGTGGAGTCCCAAGGGACTCAAGCTCAGTGAGGTAAGACAAAGGGCAAGGAAAGACTGTTTGGGTGGTTTTTCTTTTCCCCCACGTATGGTTTAGAAAATGATCCCTTTCCCAAATAAAACTCACCAACAGACTTTAATATTAGAAAAGATACTAAGCTTTAAATGTCAATACAATGGTCTTTTATTCCCTGCCCTGTCTATATTTTCTACTCAATTTGGGATAAGGGGATTCTGCCTTTTTTATGTGAAGCACTTGATGAGGGTAGACCAGCATAGAAAATCTGTTTAAAAGAAGAAATAATCTTCAGGCAAAGATAAATCTTTAGATAAAAATATAATTTTTTCTCTTTTTTTACTTATTTAAAAGTAAGTTGTGAAATGAAAGGTACATTTACATATGTACTCACGAAACACTAATATAGCTTTTTGGTGGTTGTTTAGTTTGAAATCAACTCCCTATCCATCATCCCTAGATACTTTACTTATATTGCTTCATGAACACCTTAGTCATTTTTTACTTTATATGTATATCTTTTTATCATCTCAAGAAATGCATTTTGAATTGAATGAACTATCTTCTGAGCTAAGGTACTCAAACTTAACTTTTAGCCACCTTATATGGGAGAGCCTGGAAACTAAAGGGGGCCAGGGACCATTTGACCAAAAAGAGGTGTTTGGTGGAGTTTCTGCATTTCAAAGAAGAAAGGCCAGATAGGTCATCACAATTCATTGTATTATTCTTTTTTTCCCCTTAATGGTTATGCAAATTTTATTTTATATTTCTGAATTTGGTTAGCACATACTAAGCCAAAGACTATTCTAAATGCATTTATAGTGAATACTATATATGCCCATGGTAATGGGTCCTCCCTAAGGAGTGGTGAATGTAATTGTGTGAATCCTGCTTATCACAAGTGGTGCAATTTGGTCATAAATTTTATTTATACCCTGTATACATCTGAATAACAGAGCAGAAAGACCTAAAAAAGGGCTTCTCGCAGGAACAATATTACTATGTTGTTCTAAGAAAAAATGAGTGCTGTATTTAAGTGTTTCTGAAGTTCTATAGGCAGCATTTTAGAATTAAGAAAAACATTGTGTATATCCATTAACTGATATAATTCACATGTCCTTTTATTTGTTATCAGAAAGATCAATACTATCCCAATTTATTCAACTTGTTACCCAAGAAATGGAACCAAAGGAATCCAACTTTCATTTTGTGCAGAATCATACCTATTTATACTTAATGCTAGCACTGTAAGAAATAAATCTTTTTTGTTTAAAAAAGGGAAGATAAGATTAAAGATTCTTAGTGAGATCATCTTGCCAATTTGTTGTACATCTCTCATTCATTGTTGGGGGAAAAAAAGCACAACTATACCTCTTTAATGTTATTTTCTTCCATTATCCCTCATTTATTTGGGAAGATAAGGGAAACCTTGTCTGTATTATCCAGAAGCACAGATATTTGCTTGACACAATATTTAAATTCAGCCGAATCTTTAACATTAAAAAGTTTTCTTTTTAACTTGCTGGAAAAATCCGATACATTGGCAAATATAGGGAATTCATGTCAATTTTTTTTGGCGGGGAGGTCTTTGTTGCCTAGGCTGGAGTGCAATGGCACAATCTTGGCTCACTGCAACCTCTGCCTCCTGGGTTCAAGCGATTCTCCTGCCTCAGCCTCCCAAGTAGCTGGGATTACAAGCACCCACCACCGCACCTGGCTAATTTTTGTATTTTTAGTAGAGACAGGGTTTCACTATGTTGGCCAGGCTGGTTTTGAACTCCTGACCTCAGGTGATCCGCCCGCCTCGGCCTCCCAAAGTGCTGGGATAACAGGCGTGAGCCACCGCGCCCATCCTCATGTCAATTTTTAAAGTGATAAATCCTGATATTATACATTGCAATTAGTGTAGAATAAACGCTTGGCTTATAGAACTCTCTGTTCTTAGTCTAAAGCTGTTCCCAAACCAGGTCATCCTCACGAAACATTCTTGACCAAGAAAAAAGATAAGGTCATTGAGACAGGAAGACAAAGGAAAAGCCTCTTGTTTTTGTTTCTTCCCAAGAAAGGAGAAGCCCTGCCAGGGAGAAGTCACTAGTATCACTGACTCCCCCTATCACTGAGTGTAGGGTGTGGTAGCAAGGAGGAGGCAGAGAATTCACGCTGACAGGTGACTCTGGCCTGGCTCTTGGGGGCTCTTCCGAAGACCAGTCTGCAGTTTGAGGAAGGGCCCCAGCAATTCATTTGGAGAGCTTGGCCAAATATTTTCTCATTAATCAGCATCTAAACTTGATGAGCTTAAAGTTTGTTTATTAGAGTTGAAAACATTAAAAGATGATTAATACTAATGGTAGAAAAATACTAAGGATGCAAAATTTAAAATTTTCCAAAGTAGACAAGAATTGATGGGTTAATTTGCTCATAACTGATATGAGTTTGCTTTTATGTGTGTGTGGAAAGCATTTAATGTGTGATGCTGTTCATAGTCCTGGCTATTTGATATCATTTTCAGTTTTACAACATTTTGAGGATGACAAAATGGTAAATCTTTCTGAGCGTTTACAAACTTCACTTTCAAGAAGTGAAGGGAAAAATCCTTCTTTGCTATTTCTGTAAGAAGAATAACTAAGATCAGCTATTATATAGGTTTGCATGGATGGTGTACACAATACAAATGTAAACTTGGATAGGAATAGGATAAATAAATTGCTTTCATCATAAAGGCCAGTCATCCATTTCTTAATCCAAAGAGATTAAATATAAATAGGACACCCCTGAGATTTCCAGTAAGGTATTTGAAAGGATTCCACTGGGAGGGCAGGGAATATATTTTTTCTCAGAGTCGTCTAGTTTGTGCCCGGTTTTCTATATGGTTTGTGAACTGTAGCTTTAAAAAAATAATAATTTTTTTTGTAGTTTTCTTCTAACCTTATTCATTAAGTCGTTCCTTGTTTTGGCCCTTCTACTCTTGGCCTTAGCTAAAAGCAGTAAATGTGAGTGAATTTTATGTTGATTATGTCATCTGGATCTCCTTTCCTTCCCTTCTTTTTCTCGTTGAATGGTGGTACCTTAATTTGGGTAACAGCTAGCTTCTGGCACCTTCATAAAATACCTCAGAATAGCTTAGCATTGTTGCAAAACTGGTTTTAAACTAAAAACCAAACAAATAAAAGAAAAAACTTTATAAATAGTGGAAGTAATTCTAGCTGTAGCATTTAGTCGAACTAATGTTTATTATGATCGAAAAACATGATTGATGCTGTATGTATTTGGGATCCTGTTTATAGGTTACAATTTATAGGGTTAGGGAGGGTTGGGTGGGGGAAGAGGAGAAGTTGATTATGTTAGAAGGAAAACGTTGCTCGTGTGTGTGTGTGTGTTTTCTTATATCTGTCTTGCCAAAGGAAACTTGATTTTCCCTGTGATTGGCTTTGGCCTCTCTGTGGTCTGATCTGCAGCGGTGTGTGGTGGCATGCAGATAACATATGGGGTGTCCAGTAGGTTCAGGGACCCTGAGGGTGCATTTACATCCCTTCCTATTGTTGCCCATGCCCCCCAGACCCTGCCAACCTCTCTTAATGATTCATTACCTCTGTACATAGCAAAAGCATAGGCAAAGGATGAATGTATGAATGCCTGGATGTGCAGTTGAGAAATAGAGGCAGAAATAGATATGCACCAATTAATTTGGAGACAAGAGGTGAGTGATTGATGTGTCTTAAATCTAGGAAGGTTAAAGTGAAACAGGTTATTTGTGTTGCCCTCTGTCATGTTACTGAATGTTGTGCTAATACCACAACATTTTAAAACCTTACTTTTCTCATACCAAGGCTAGTTCTGTCTAGACTAAAAACACAAACAGGATAAAAAGCAAACCAAGAAGTTGAAAGCTAACCTGCCCACCTCACCCCTGTGATATAAAGTGTGACCCTTAAAGATTGATTGGTGGGATTGAGGAGAGAATTATTCTTGGTGGGAACGTGAATGAGAAATGATGCTGGCTTAGAAAAAATTACAAGGCCTTTCTGCCCACACTCTGGGACAAACTTTCTTGGCTCCCTGAGTTTCAATATAGACTGTATCTCCAGAAAGGCTATTTTTTTAAATAAATGATCTCACAGAACTTAAGTGGGATTTGGTTTAGATACCAAAGACACTGCTAATGTCATTGCTTATCCTTAAGTTTTCAAAACAGGCAGAGGGAATAGGAGCAAAAAGCCAAAATTTGGAAAAGCTTTACTTTATCTCTTTCCTTCCCTTTTCCCCTTTTCCCAGTCCCCTGCCTTTTGAAGGAAGTCTTCTTGGTTGTCCTGGCTTTGGAAGAGAGATTTATTTTGTTTTGCTCTGCTGGCTCTGTAAAGATGGATCATTGCTCAGTGTAGCAGTGATGTTCTTGGAATTGCTGAGAAATTTGGGGAGGGCAAAAGATAGGGGTAGAATTTTTTCATTATTTCCCTTTATCTAATACTTTTAAATAGAACCAGTATAGCCTATATGAGTTCAGACAATATTTAAATGTGGTATCTCCATCTGTCTCCTGTAAAAGATAAGAATTTTCAAGAACAGGATTATGTAGAAAACCAAAAGATCTTCCCTTACTCTCCTGTAAATGTTTTGTTCCAAAATGTTTTTATATACGGGCTCTAGGGAGCCAAGTAGTTCATTGTTTCGGTGTACTATTGGTAGGACACAGAAAAGGGGAGAGGGTAAAGAAATATATCGCTGTCTGAATATTGCATCAAAAATGATCAGGTTGCAGAACTTCATGAAAGCTTTGCTAATAATCTTATTGTTCTGACATTATGTAAAGGTGGTATTAATATTGTATGACTTTTCAAAGTGCTAGATAGGTTTATAAGTAGGTAATAGGGATGTTGAAGATTAGAGCACTTGAAACAGAAGTTCTGGGAAAATAAGGTGTGTGTAATGGAATACCGCTTTGAGCACAGAAACAAAGGTCTGTTGGGCCTGGGAGAGAAGATGTGATTTATGATTGTTTCTGTGTCCCTGTATCTGCCCACCCTGCACAGGGCTCCACCACCCAGGGCCACCTGGTTTAAACCCAGGACACTGTCAAAAAGTTAAGACCCCGAAACTAATTTACTGTAAAAAACAAACATTGAGGACTGCTGCAAAGTTTTCCCATTTTCTTTGTGTACTTGTTCATCTTTGTATAAGTTAGCCACAGCCTCCTCACAAGAGCGGCTTAAGGCTTCTTTCATAAATTGACTGTGGCATTGAGTTCTCAAACATTGTATCCCAAAATCTGCAGGCAGACAGCTGGATACAGCGCTGTGTATAAAATGAGACATCCACACACTTGAGTTTCTTAAGATTGGGATCTCTTTCAAATGAAAAAGGACAGAGCCAAGTAGAGAAAATACTTGGTGCTCCCACCCAGCCTTAATGAGTCTCATGGTCTAAAAGCATAGGAAGAAATGAAATGCACTTTCAGAAGCTAAAATGACAGTGTCTGCTACAAAAGACTGTGGTTGTAGGCAGTCGGGGATGCCATGTCCTTGGTTCCATTCCTGCGTGAGTCTGCAGAAGGCACACACTTTGTAAGAGCAGAATGGACTAGTGCCAGCCTGAATAAGTTTAAAACTGCAAACAGTTGGAGAACATGGAACAGGCTGGTGCAGGGAGCCTAAGATTTTGCAATCATATTATAACATTGGCTTTTGACAACATAAATAGTGTATCTTCCCTAAGGTCAGGTCGGGAAAGAAAGACTTCCAGCTGCTTACCTCTGCATGCGTGGCCACGTGTGCATTGCTCAGTCCGCGGGAGCTCTCACTCCGCAGGAAACGCTCTCCTCCCACATTAGTCTGTACTTCCATCCCCTCATCTGTGGTAGTAGTGAAGGCTAGGTGAGTAAGCGTGGGCTGTTCTACCCACCAGAAGTCCAGGAGCTGTTGTATACCTCATTTCTAACTCGTGACCGAGTGACTTGCTTTAACTTTCTCGAAACCCTACAGAGTTGCCAAGTCTGCCCTCCCTCCTCTCAGTCATGTTAAACTCTGGCCTATAGCATCATGGGACCTGTAGCCTAGGGTGGGACCCCCTAAAGCCTCTGAATGTTGCTGCTTAAAAGCTACTGCAAACTGAGGGCAAATTGCAATCTTCTATTCCTTTTTGTTGCAAGGGGTCTTCACAGGTCTCTTAACATCTACTTTCCCTGCCACCCTGCCTTTAGGGGCTGGCCAGCTATCCACACCCCTAACCCACCCTGTGTTTCTGACAGCTGGCCACACATCAACTTCTGTACTTGCCTTTTCCTTGGTGGGGTAGAGGCCAACCCCTTCTCCTCTGAGGCCTCAGGGTTCTGTTTCTCTTCAGGACTTTGGGTAGAAGGGAAGACACCAAAGGCTCCTTTAAGCTGACTGCTGCATACACATTTCACTTTTTTTCCTTTGACATGACCAAAAATATCCAAATATTTAAGTTTATTATTATTATTAATATTATTATTATTTGACAATCTTATATCCAATGGGCTCTCTAGAAGCTGCATCCCCAGCCCTTTCACCTTTTCTTTGAATGTAGTTCCCAACCTTCAATTCCCACCCCTAATGCTGACAAAAAGCTTAGCCAGGTCATGATACTGCTGCTATAAGCCAGGGGAGGGTGGTTTCTTTGTTTTGTTTTGTTTTGTTTTGTTTTTTAAATTTCCAGCCAAAACCAAAGATTTCTTAATGATTGTATAAACTCAAAACAAACAAAAGAACCAAAGAAAAGGGAAGTCTTCAGCATCAGTCCAGTCTGTGGTGTCCTGGCACTTAGAAGAGTGAGGCCAGGGAAAGCGGGGCGGGAGGACGCTCTGACCAGATCAGAAAGGGCAGGCAAGCTGTTTTCCACCTTCCAGGGTCCAGCACAGGTACGTGCCCGTGGCTTTGGCCCTCACAAACTTGTGAGCATGCCCTGAAACAAATTGGCATTTCAGATTTTCCAAAACAAAAGTCAAAAAACCCCATCACCACCATCAGCCACCCTACACCAACCAGGGTCACTATGGGGACTTAGCACAGGGCCTAGGGAGGGTGGGAGCTGCTGCTGGACTGGCCCGAGGACTCCACAGAGTGGGGGACGTTGAAGACACTGGCGCACGATTGGCTGCTCTGCTGGGTGCTTTAACCTCTGGGGCTGGGCGAATGCACGCCAAGGTGCCCTTCTGAGCCTTTTTTCTCTTTTCCTGTACTGGAACTGCTTGGAAGTGGCTGTCCTGTTTGTGAGAAAACATGCAGAAAGATTATCAAGCTTTTCATTTCTCTTTCTTGTAGTTTTGTTTCCTTTTTGCAGCGCCACTGTGCAACTATGCATTGTACTTCACAACCTTTTGTGCTAGGTAGATGCCTGTGACTTTTTAACTTGGGGGGTGGGGGGATTGCAAATGAAGGAACTTTTTACATGGATCTTTTTAATCTCAGTTGACTGGGGGAGGGGGGTACTTGGTTCTTGGGTCATACAAGCTCTATCCCAAAGCAAAATCCAAATGTTAATAATATTAGCCTGATGCAGATACCAAAGATAATTTCTTTCCTGCAGAACCTTAGACTCGTGTATTAAGTACGATTACCCAGCACTTGCATTAGTCTAACCTCAGTAATTCCAAAGCTTAGATGTATATTTTGGTATATTTCTGGGATATTAAAAGAAAAAAATGTCGTTTAACTTCTTGTTTGTTTCAGTGTAATGCTCTTAAAGTCATAGCATGAAAATAATTGAACTGTCCTATTCTTAGTAGTTTGAAATAATAGTATTTTTGTATGTTTTGGGTGTGTCTATGTATGTATTAACATAACAGTTTTCACTGCCTAGGTGTTCATAATAAAAAAGAAAATGAAAAAAGTTCTGAGTGTACATAATATTCAATAATAATCTCCCACCTGGTGTCAATTTAGATTGCATATTCCTCATTGCTGTTCCCGACTGGGATTTTGTTTTCTTTCAAAGAGACAGTGATCGTGTTTTTCTAAAGATGTTTTCTTTCTCTCTTTCAATATCTTAACTCACTTTTTATTTTCTTCCTTTTTTGTCTTAATTATTAATTCAGGGGTGTTTGTCCACTGTTGTCAAGGGAGGGGCACAAGGGGAATTGGCCCCTTGGCCTCCTAGAACTTTTTGTTTTATGTACTTTAAAATGTGAGTTTGAGTTCTTCTTTGTGGAAACTTAAGATGTGGTGTAAATGATTCTTTCCAAAATTGTCCAGCAGCTTTAATGAGGCAGTGACAATTCTGAGGTGGTTTATTAGAGTCCTTCTACATTTCTCTTAGATAACTCTGCACTCTGGGTGGCTATTGTGTAGCCTTACTGCCCCAGAGCGCCTGTTAGCCAAATATTTCCCCTCTGATAGGAATATTTTCTAAGAATCAGCTGATAACTTGCGTGCTGGACCTTGTTATCTGTGCCCCTGGGAGACACACGTTTTCTTGGTTTTGAAAACCTGAAACACAGGCAACTTTACATTTTGGGGAAATTAGCTGATGCCTCCTGAGGCCTGAGGAGGTGGTGGGGAATATGAGCGGTGCTGTCTCTCTCAAAGTGCCCTTTAGATGATTCCCCCTCCTAGGGCTGCCTGCAGGGGCTGTAGGCTCGGGAGAGATTGTGTAGGTGACAGTGAATCAGAATGAAATGGTAGATTTTGTGTAGATGCATTTGTCTGCTGTAATTTTTTATATATATATTAAACTTACTGTAACTGTACAGTTCATTTCTGTTGTAAAACATCATTAAACCATTTTCCAAGTGTTTTCACATTGTTGGAGTTTCTTTGAAATTGCTGTGTTGGTATTCTGGATGCTTCACATACACATTCTCAGACTCTGCGTAATTCAGTTTCCAAATTATGTTTTCCAAGTGCTCTCAGGAACCCCAGAATCACCACAAGCACCGTGGTTCCTGCCGCGCTCCACCCTTCCTCCTGCACTCCAGGGGGAGCTGTGGCCACTGCATTTCTCCCTGCCAGACCCTCAGTGTGGTTTCGTGGGACCCTGAGTAGCAGTAGTCTCCTTCAGGCCCAAGTACTTTGTGTGATCAAACATGCAGGCCCGTGACTGATCTTGCAAGGGAGCTCTTCAAAGCTCCATCTCACTGTGTATTTGACTGCAGAACTGGGACCAAACTCAACTTTTTCCAAATTTATTGTTGAAACTGCACTGCCCCTCTAGCATTTCTTGCCAAGTCCTGAACATTCATTGGGTGGGTGGCGGCGGCGGGAGGGGGGTCCTCCGAAGGAAGGTAACCCTGAACTTGGCATCTGGTCCTCCTCCTGTTGGAGGTTGTACAACTTAGCTTTTTCAGACTTATAAATACTACTTAACATTTAGTGTCTTACTACAGTTCATTTCATGAAAAGGAAAGTTTGAATTTTAAAATGAATTCCCCACAGAGAGATGGCTTCAGCTTACTGAAGAACCTGGGAAAGTTGTCTATCACGTGCTGGCCATCTGACGGGCGTTCTTGAATTAGATGATGTGGAGAGCTGTTGTCGCAAGATGTGCTCACTCTCCTGGAAAGGGATCAAAATGGGAAGACAAATGATGGGTCCTTTTCTCCCTGCTCCTTTATCATAGAATTTATATTTTTCCATTCCATTCCTTAGATATATGGCTTACATTTCAGCTTGTAGAGTTATTTTCTTAAAATAATGTCCAGTTTTTAACAGAAATCTTGTTTTTGAGATAGTGTCGTGCTCACTAACAAAGACTTAGCAAGCACAACTCATTTGTCATCTCCTAAGGCATGAGGATAAACCACTGATGAGATTCTGTTACCCTGTCGTTCTTTTTGAAGAAGTGGTTAAATTCTAACCCATTTCCAGGTTTGTATACAAAGCTGAATTATCTATGGCAGGATGTGAATAATATCTGCCCTTACTCTTTTCTTTTTGGAGGGACTTATATCTCTCCCCAAGACCCAGGTTGAAGTTAACAGGAAATCCAGTGTTAGGACTTAGTCATGAGTTCACAAAAGTAGTTGTTGATCAACAACTGAAATGTCCAGCACCAAGCAACCAAAACACATCACAGGTTATTCCTGGACAGATTGAGGCCTGTGGCTTAACAGCTGGCCAGATGGCAAGGCTTTAAATCACCCCGGAAGTTGTCCTCTTAGCCTAAATTGGTCATCTGCCCTTTTTTCTCTGCCAAGCCAGGCTTTGCAGCTTTGAGTATTTCTCTGTTTATAGGAACCTTGTAAACTAGTAACCTTGGATCTTATTCCAAGAATGACCTCGAATTAAACCCTAGGAAGAAAAGCAATCAGAAATATTCATATCTTATCTCTGAGTTTAGTGACATTTGAATAAAAGTCTGAAAAATATTGAAAGCTTCCATCTTTATATATATATGTGTTTCCTCAATATAAGGAAAATTCCGTATTTCGTTGATTCTAACCACATCTTCACATTTTAACCCATGAAACAGATCTACATCTTACGATGGATATTTAGGGATTTTCCTCTTGAAATAAGTTGATACATCAATAACCAACAGTGTTTTCGGATGGAGGGAGTGCAGTTGTGCTGTGGAGAAGGCATTGCCAGACCTCAGGAAAGGCAGGAAGCCTGGCAGTTCCAGGGCTAGCCACTCTCCCATCGGATTCAGGGCTTTGCTCTCTCAGAAGCTGGTTTCTCAGCCCTGCTTCTGTGAGCACATCTCAGTTCTCCCCCCAGCTTGCTGTCTGTGTGGTTACCTTGCATGTAGCCTCATATGGCCCCCACCCCAGGTTCGTTGTAGCACCACAGCTCACTGCCCAGTGCCAGCTTTTCTCCTTGCCTCTTTAGACATATGTTATTAAAAATATTTATATGTGTGTGTGTGTGTATATATATATGTGTGTGTGTGTGTGTGTGTGTGTATATATATATATATATTTTTTTTTTTTTTTTTTTTTTTTTTTTTGAGATAGGGTCTCCCTCTGTTACCCAGGCTAGATTTCGGCTCACTGCAGCCTTGACCTCCTGGGCTCAAGCGATCCTGTAGCTTCAGCACCCTGAGTAGTGAGGAACACATGCACATGCCACCATGCCCGACTGTATTTTTTTCTAGAGACAGGGTTCTCCTGTGTTGCTGAGGCTGGTCTCAAACTCCCGGGCTCAAAGGTTCCTCCTTCCTCAGCCTCACAAAGTGCTGGGATTACAGGCATGAGCCACCATGCCCAGACTGAGACATATTCTTGACAGAATTGGGTCAACTCACTTTTTTCAAACCAGCCATCCAGGTCACAAAGCCTGTATGTATAAGTCAGCTGACCTTGAAACTTGGTGTAGCACAAGCCCTCGGTGTGAGTGGCACTCTCTTTCACTAATAGATGAACCAGACTTCAGTTTTAAAAGCCCAGTGAGTAGCAGAATTCCCCTGAGGCTGTTACAAATCCAATGGCTTCTCTTTATGAGTTGCCTGTGAATTGTTAAATATGCCTAGCGATGATATGCTTGGCTCCTGTTGGAATCCCAGATTTTCAGGGACGTTTAACAGTCATGGTCTTGGATTTCTTTTTTGAAAAAGTCAAGGTACAGATTTCAGTCTTCACACAATATGAGTTGGTGGGCTTGTTGAATTGGGGCCTTAGATACAGCCACTGCAGTTAGAGGAAATACTGCTAGGAACGGGGCCACCTTTTGTTGAGGGAAACACCTAAAAGACTTGTTGTCCTCCATCCCTCCCTCAAACCCTGTGCACTGAGACATTCTGCACTGTGGTGTCAGCTGCTGTGCATAACTTCCGGACACCTTCTGCTCACACACTGCCTATTCCAATGCCTGAGTGCCAGGCCGGTCTCTCGTGCTTGTTTTCCTGCACCCGACAAGCTGGGGCCATGCTGCAGGGCTCCTTTCCCATAGCCCTCTCTGGTTCTGGGGCCATCCTGGCACATCTTATTGCACCGAGGCCCACTCTCTCTAAGGCACAGCCACCCAGCCTGGACGCCCGGCCCACTTGCCCTGTGCGACACCACCCACATGGGCGGCATTCCAGGCCGCAGGATGCACCTGCGCTCATGTGCTGGTTCCCAGGAACTGTCCTGTTCTCTCCTGAGAATCAGCAGTTCTGCTCCCCTCCTCCCTCAAAGGCAACCTGCTGATTTACTGATGGCTGAATTGCCATTAGAAGCCTGACTGCTGAAATAAAGCTTAGAATAAAGCTGCATTTTCACTGAAGCATTTATTATGCAAAATAGGAAGGCTTTAGCATGCCAGTATAAATTAAAACAGTAGAAAAAAAGCAGAGCAGAGAGCGCTTTCCATCCATGGCCTGTGGCATGTAATGACACAGCAGTGTCCTCGTACATTGACTGGGGTTTTTCCTGTCCTGCCACTGTCCGCTGGGCAGTTACAGGTCCCATGTGTTGGGTCTTCCTGCGAGGCCTTCACAATGATGATTTTGTCATTCACTGGAAGTGTGAGGTGAATCAAGGGCCTCCTCTTGCTCCCTGGCACTTTATTCACACGTGTAACCACACTGTTTTTTATGCCACTTTGTGCACAGCTCATCAAGGTCAGTCTGTTCATCTTCTGGCCCCCATAGCACGTGGTACAGTTCAATGGTGCGGCACAGAGGCCCAAGGCAGGGAGGCTCCCGCTACCCTCGCAGGCCCTGGCGGACCCTGCCCTGCCCGCCCACCTTCCCATGCCCATGCAGCTCCCTGGGTGCACCTGGCCTAGGCTCCTTTCCATCTGCCCCTCTGCCCGGCCCTCTCACCAGGGAGGTGCAACATGGCCCAGTACAGTTACCTTGAAAGGAGGTGAAGGTGACAACAGAAGCCAAATTTACAGCAGGAGTGAAGCCACTCAGACACTGACAGAATGATACAGACATTAGGACATGTGCTAGCATCTGCGCTTTCTCTGGGGACTTTACAAAACAGACTCAACAACTCAGCTGTGAGAGGCAGCGTGCCAGCCTCCCAGGGAGAACGAGGAACCGCCAGGAGACAGGTCTACCTACACCACTGGCAAACCAGAGGGCCCAAGGCCAGGGCCGTAAGCCCTGGGGGCACACTCCCTTAAAAAGTGCAGGGACAACAGTCTGTGTGTGACGGTTTGGAGCTAAATATGACCAAAGCATCCTGTACATAAAAGGGAATACTTCAGTGGCTGAGAAGATGAGTGAACCGGGTTGTAAATGCTTTATCCTGTGTCTCATAATCTGGGCGTCTGCAGGTCTGGCCTTTGAGTGGTGAAATCCCCTGGCTGTTAGCGAGGGGGCAGGGTCTGCATGTGAAGGGCGTCGTAGGTGTCCTTGGTGGCTGTACTGAGCCCCTGGTGAAAGCAAGTCAGAAAACAAAAGTGGGTCAGTAACCTGTGTGGGCAGGAGCCAACCCGGAGGCCAACAGGTGTCTCTGCAGCACAGCCCCGTGACCACCCACGCAGCCTCCAGAGGCCCAGGAAAAATCCCCCTGACCCCACGGGCGGGAGCCTTGGCTGCAACAGCTTCGTTGGTAGATGGGTTCTGTGCCCTGCCGGGAACGTCCCTGCAGCAACTCCTTTCCGGCTAAATCCTCACCCCTCTTCTCAGCTCCTCAAATGCTGTGCCTTACAGTGCTTGGGCACCGCCAACTTCCTGTTGGACCTAAGAGAAAGGAGTCTCCCACCTCCCATACTGGGCAGGATTCAGGGGGAAGGGCCCAGGCCTGCTCCAGAGAATCTGCTGTCCCTGATACCTGGGCCCAAAGGACTTGTCTCCCTGGACTTGTCACAGGGAGAAGAGGGACTCCTTGGCCTCAGCCCTCTGCAAGCCTCCCTCCCAGGCCCAGTG